CGGCAGTGCCAGGACCTCTAGCACCAATAATACCTCCAGCACCTCGAGTGCCAGCAGCTCTAGTAGCACCTCCAGCACCTCCAGCACCAACAGTACCACCTGCTCCGCCAGCTCCAGTACCAACAGCACCTCTAGTACCTCCACTGCCAGCAGCTCCAGTAGGACCTCCAGCTCGAACAACACCACCAGCTCCGGGAACTCCAGCACCTCCACTACGAGCACCTCCAGGACCAACAGCTCCAGTACCTCCAGTACCTCCAGCTCCAGCGCCTCTAGCACCAGCAGTACCTCCAGCACCTCCAGCACTAGCTATACATCCAGGACTAGTAGGTCCAGCACCTGCAGCACCAGTAGCACCTCTAGGACTAGTAGCTCTGGCACCTCCAGCACCAGCAGCACCTCTAGTACCTTCTGCACTAGCAGCACCTCCAGCACCAGAAGTACCTCCAGTACCTCCAGCACCAGCAGTACCTCCAGTACCTCCAGCACCAGCAGTACCTTCAGGACTAGCAGCTCCAGCACCAGCAGGACCGTACCCTCCACCACCAGGACTGCCTCGCCGAACGATCCACGCACGAATCGCTTGCAGCGAGAGCGTCTCAAGTAGGTCAGGCTGCGGTGGCTGTCCAGCTCCAGGACCTCCAGCAGGGTCACCCACAGCTCCACCTCCATTAGGACTCGCAGGACCCCCAGAGTAAGCACCCCCAGTCGCAGCACTCCAAGAACCAGCACCCCCAGTCGTAGCACCCCCAGAACCAGCACCCCTAGAACCCTCACCCTCTGGTTCAGCACCCCCAGACTCAACACCAGCAGTCTCAGCTCCAGAGTCCACAGCAGTAGGCTGCGGAGGCGGCGAAGACGGCCGAGGCGGAAAACACGGGGGGGGGTCTCCCGGCGAGTGGCCGCCGAGTCGTCAGCAGCAGGGTCACCCCCCTCAGCTGGGCCAGAGGAGTCAGAAGAGACCTCCAAAGGCTCAACCAAGGGGGGTAGATCTACCTGAGACACACCTGAGGGAGCAGGACCCTGTGGGGGGAGGGGGTCTACCGGGGGGGACTGGTACCAAGAAAAGAGGCGCTAGGGGGACCGGCTGGGACGCATGCGGGTGGAGCCTGTAGAAACAGACCGACTCGTCAAAGGTGACGTCCTGGGAGGAGAAGACTCGACGCGAGCTCGGGTGGTAAAAGTTCCACGGCGGGGCGTCGGTAGGGAAGCCAAGGAAGACGCAGCGGAGAGTGCGAGAGGAGAGCTTGCTCGCTTTGGCATCGCGAACAAGGGAGAGCGCGCCCCAGACCCGAAACACCGACGCATCGCCAACCTTCCCCGTCCACCGAAGTGTGGGCGAGGTCTCTGGCTCAGAGACACGGGGCCAGAGGTTGAGCTGATGCGCAGCGTATCGGACCGCAAACGGCCACAGAAAATGGGGAGCAGCCGCATGGACCATGGAGGTATGAGCAACCTCCATGATCAAGACAATGCGACGCTCAGCAATCCCATTTTGCTGAGGGCAGGCCGGAAGTGTGAACGACTGGACGATGCCCTTGTCTCGACAGAACTCCGCAAGGAGGTCAGAAGAGAACTCACTGCCCCTGTCAGAGTGCAGACGCAGGACTGGAAAGTCATGACTGAACCGCTCGCGCAGCTGTCGACGAGTAGCACGGATCCAGGGGATAAAAAACACCGCCGACTTCCGCCTTGCGCCGCAAGGGGAAGACACTGGTGTAACGTGTGTAGTTGTCAACAACTAGTAGGAAGTAGCGCTCCTGGTCCGTTCCACCGACGGGGGCTGGGCCCCAAACGTCCATGTGGAGAGTCTGCAGAGGAGCAGTGGTCGGAGGAAACTCGGAGGAGTGAGGAGCGGCGCGCTGCCATCCCTCGACGCAGGGAAGGCACGGCGGGGCAGGCGAGCGCGGGAGGGAGGGCAAGGACCTGGGAAGGCCAGAGACAAGGAGACGGGAGTGCATACCACGGAGACGCGGTAGGGAGGGGTGACAGAGGCGGTGGTGCCAGAGGAGATTCTGGTGGGAGAGTACCCGACACGAGCAAGACGCTGAAAGCTGACCAGACGCAGACAACTGACTCAACGCAGCCACCTGACCTAGCGTAGCCACCTGTGCAGACACAGTGGTCAGTGTGTACAGACTAGACCCAGGCCGTCGAGTGAACGTAGCCAGGTGACGGCCAGTCCGGGAGCACGTACAGATCGCCACATGCTGCCCTCCAGGAATAAAGGTATCAACCCAGACATCCTGAATGGCAGCGTTGCTCACCAAGTTCGTCGAGAACATGGGGAGGTGGAGACCTAACAAAGAACTGGAGGGGACTGCTGGACACGGGAGGATAGAGGAGGCTCGCGCTACTACTGAGCCCCCAGTGAGACCGGTACCGGTGCAGCAAGTGGTGTGAGTGAGGTGCAGTCACGAAAGAAGCAACGTGACGCGCCTGAGTCAAGTGTGATAGTGTGCAAGGCCTCAGCTGAGGAAGCACCTGTGGCGGGAGACGCACTAGCACCTAAAGCTGCAGCAGGCTCACTAGCACCTAGTGCAGCAGCCTCGACAGAACTAGTGACACATCGCTGAGGAAACAACTCACTAAGCACTTGCAGGGAGAAGGTCTCTTACTGACTCTGCTGCCGCCTCTGCGCAGTACATAGAAAACCAAAGCCTCCACCATCTGGACGGGCTCGCTGAAGAACCCACTCGCAAAGCTGCAGAGGGGTTGGGTCGTCCGGGAGAGGCAGTGACCGCCGCTGTCCACCCCTAGCAGCTGCAACTGCCGTGATAGTGGCCATGACTGGCAGTGACGGTCAGTAGTAGGTCCAGCACCTCCAGCACCAGCAACACCTCCAGCACTCCCAGTCGCACCTCCAGCACCCCCAGCACCAGCAGCACTCCCAGCACTCCCAGCAGCACCTCCACCAGCAGCAGCAGTAGCAAGGAGCAGTGGCAGCAAGGAGCAGCAGCAGCAAGGAGCGACAGCTGCAGCAAGTAGCAGCAGCAGCAGCACATAGGAGAAGGCGCACAGCAGGAGCAGCAAGAGGAGTTGCAGCAGCAGTGGCAGTAGAGAGCAGCCGCAGTAAGTAGCAGCAGCAAGGAGCGACAGTTGCAGCAAGTAGCAGCAGCTGCAGTAAGGAGCAGCACTTAGCAGGAGAAGCAGAGCATGCAGCAGTGGCAGCAGCAGCAGAGCATGTTGCGGCAGCAGCAAGGGCTGTAGCGGCAGCAGCAAGGGCTGTAGCGGCAGCAGCAAGGGCTGTAGCGGCAGCAGCAAGGGCTGTAGCGGCAGCAGCAAGGGCTGTAGCTGCACCAACAGGGGCTGGAGCGGCAGCAGCAGGGGCTATAGCGGCAGCAGCAAGGGCTGTAGCAGCAGCAGCAAGGGCTGTAGCTGCAGCAGCAGGGCTGTAGCTGCAGTAGAAGGGGCTGGGGCGGCAGCAGCAGGGGCTGTAGCGGCAGCAGCAAGGGCTGTAGCGGCAGCAGCAAGGGCTGTAGCAGCAGCAGCAAGGGCTGTAGCTGCACCAGCAGGGCTGTAGCTGCAGTAACAGGGGCTGGAGCGGCAGCAGCAGGGGCTGTAGCGGCAGCAGCAAGGGCTGTAGCGGCAGCAGCAAGGGCTGTAGCTGCACCAGCAGGGCTGTAGCTGCAGTAGAAGGGGCTGGGGCCGCAGCAGCAGGGGCTGTAGCGGCAGCAGCAAGGGCTGTAGCTGCACCAGTAGGGCTGTAGCTGCAGTAACAGGGGCTGGAGCGGCACCAGCAGGGGAGCGATTCGAGTAGGAAAAACGGCCTGCCTAGGGGCGCGATTCAGGCAGGAAAAACGGGCAGCCTAGGGGCGCGATTTGGGCAGGAAAAACGGCCTGCCTAGGGGCGCGATTCGGGTAGGAAAAACGGCCTGCCTAGGGGCGCGATTCGGGTAGGAAAAACGGCCTGCCTAGGGGCGCGATTTGGGCAGGAAAAACGGCCAGCCTAGGGGCGCGATTCGGGCAGGAAAAACGGCCAGCCTAGGGGCGCGATTCGGGTAGGAAAAACGGCCTGCCTAGGGGCGCGATTCGGGCAGGAAAAACGGCCAGCCTAGGGGCGCGATTCGGGGCAGAAAAACGGCCTGCCTAGGGGCGCGATTCGGGCAGGAAAAAACGGCCAGCCTAGGGGCGTGATTCGGGGAGGAAAAACGGCCTGGCTAGGGGCGCGATTCGGGCAGGAAAATGGGCAGAACAGAACTAACGGTGGGCCCTAAACGAGTGGTCCTACAGATGGACCTGCTCTGATACCATATCGAGAGAACTGTGCAGGAATGATTGGATTAACAAGGGTTGGGGTACAAGTGCTAACCCTAGAAGTGCTGTACTCCATAAGGAGTGCCCCACTATAGCCTACAAGTAAGATGTACTTTGACAACTGGTTGGTGCCATGGAAGGTAAGGTAAAAGGGAAGCACTTGCTAAAGGGGATGCATATTCATTACATCCTCGCAGTGGTCGTCTTCCTTATACTGGTACATGCCAAACAAAGATCCTAGTTCTGACCAATAGCATGTCAAAGTTAAGTACTGGTACCTGCTCTTACGGTATTCCAGGCCAGAGCCCTTTGTACGGTACCGTAGCATGTAAAGACGCCTGCTTTGTGTTGCCTTGATTTGCCTGAAGGATTCTGTCTGCGTGCTGCAGTGATTATTCAGGCGCACTTGTTGTTGCTTACTGCCATACAACTAGCACGACCCCACCCACCAAAACACATCAGGGCTAGTACCGTATAATGATGTTCCACGTTTTTGCTACACCTGGCAGAGTGTAGAGTGGTTAGAGCACAATCACATCACATGCACTTGCAGTGCAGCTCTTGCATCGCTCGAGTCACGAGTAACCATTGTGAGAGGGAATTTACGCGGCGAACGCGAAGCAAGGCGCAGCAAGGTGTAGCCGAGTTGCTGTGAAATGACTGGTGGCTTGGAAGAGATGGTAGAGAGCGCATCGCCTTTACCCCACCCTCATGCCCTCTCCTAAGTCGGAAGTTGAGTCGACTCAAAGGTCACTACGAGGGTGAGAGTGAGGGAAAATGCGGATGCGGAGGCGAAGCAAGGCGTAGCCGGGTTGCCGTGCAATGACAGTGCCTTGGTACGATGGTAAGGAGAGCAACGCCTCCACGTGTGTCTCTTCTGCCACCACCAACACCGACTCCACCCCTCCCCCTTCCATTCCCCTGCTCCCCTTTTGAGACGTCTCAGAAGTTGACTCCAACCCTCCCCCTTCGACTCTCCTGCTTCCCCCACTCCCCTCCGCTCTCTTGCTCTCCCCTCTTCCCTCCTCACTCCTCTCCTCACTCCCCTCCCCACTCCTCTCCCCATTCCTTGCCACGCTCACCTCCCCGGTCCTCTCTCTCTCTGCTCTCACCCTAGCAGCAAGGCCCTCGAGCACGCTGTGTGCGTGCTGCTGTGACTCCACAAAGGCCACGGGCCGCTGCGAGTAGAATACTACACTGGGCATGCGCGCACCCACCATCACCATCGCCTCCCCCGCCGATGCCGCTGCCGCTGCTGCTGCTGTTGCTGGTGATGGTGCTGGTGCTGTTGGTGCTGTTGCTGGTGATGGTGTTGCTGCTGCTGCTGCTGCTGCTGCTGCTGCTGCTGCTGATGGCACTGCTGCTTCTGTCGGTTCCCCTTCTCTACCCGCGCTTGGTCTTTCCAAGTGTGACTGCACAGGAGGCCGCAAAGACGCCGCAGTGAGAGCAAGGTCCCTGGAGGGGCGCTGCAGAACCGAGTCTGCTATGAGGAGCGAGGGGCGCAGGAAGAGCGGCAGTAGCAGAAGCACCAGAGCTGAGTGGATGGGCAGCAGTGGGGAGACGGGCGAGAGGCGGAGCAAGTGGGGTAAGTCGTGGGAGGGGGAGTTAGGAGTGGAGGGGGAGGAGGACGGAGAGGAGGAGGGAGAGGAAAGGGTTGAGGAGGAGGGGGAGGGCGGAAGGGAGGAGGCTTTGCCGGTAGCAGCAGCAAGAGCTGAAACAGCAGCGCAGGCAGCGGCGGCAGCAGCAAAGAGCACAGAAGCGCGCCAGTGCAGCTGATCCCTTACAATCGCTGCAATTATAGCCGCTGCCTTGGGGTCTCCGATAATGGACTGCTGCAGCAGCAAGGGCAGGAGTGCCAAGGCGAGAGAGAGGAGCAAAAAGACAGATGCCGAGAGAAAGGCAGAGAGAGGGGTGCCTGCAGGGGGAAGAGGAGGAGGCGAGGGATGGAGGGAGAGTGTGGGTAATCTGGAGGGATGTGTGATTTCCAGGTTGGTAGGAGAATGGGGAGTGTGCGAGACGGTTTGTGAATCATGAGGGTCGCTCTGTGGCAGGTTTGTTCTCAGGAGCCCTGCGGCCAATACGATTGCGACACCTGGCGCGATGGGAAGGTAGTAGGAGGGGAGCTGGGAGCGAGAGAGAGCAAGCAAGCCGAAACCAGACGCCACCCACGCCAAACCCAGTAGCACCAGATAATTCCCCCTCTCCTGTGTTCTCCCCTGCCTTCTCTCCTGTCTTGAGTCCTGTCCTGTACCCTGTCTTGCCTCCTCTCCTGCTTCCCCACGCCTCGAATCCCCCCCAACAACCGTCGTCTCCCTGATTCCATCCTCTTTCTCTTGTGCTGCCTCTCTCCTCCACCCGTGCCTATCTAAGACTGCTCCAGCAGCAGCAGTGGCTGTGCGTAGGAGGGCAGGGGGGAAGAGCAGGGACCACGGGAAATACAGCAGCAGGCAGGCTAATAACGGGTACAGAACTGGCCTGTTCCCGTGGTGGTTCACACCCTTAGCGAATCTCTCCCAGTGGTGGTACCCAAAGAACGTGCTTAGATACATGCTCCCGTGCCGCTTTCCCATAGCGACAAACCACGGAAGCGCGGTGAGGAGAAAAAGGAGAAGGCAGGGGAGGAAGGGGAGCTCGAAGAAGAGGAAAGCGTGGAGAGAGGAGAGGAAGGCGAGGGGGGAGCGGAGGGAGAAGGTTCCGGAGAGGGTGAGAAAGAGGGAGATGATGAGGCAGGGAAGGAGGACGCCCAAGGGACCCTTGGTGAGACAGGCTGCTGCGAGGGAGAGCGCGGAGAGGAGGTAAAGCGCGGGGCTTAGGAAGGAACGGGGGGGAGAGAGGGGTGCGGAGTGAGGGGAGGAGCGGGGGAAGGCGCAGGGGGGGGTGTCGTCGTGGGAGGAGCGGCGGTGAGAAGGCTGGTGGGATGGGGGGTTGTGAGGGTTGTCATGAGAGGCATAGGCCCAGAAGAAGGCGAGGATGGCAGTGGCGGTGGTGGCGATGAAAGGCGCGTCTGAAACCGCCACAGAGCCCCAGAGGAAGGGGCCGAGGGAGAGCGCGAATATGGGTGCGATGGTGACTGCTGCTGCCCAGTGCAGGGGCCGGGCGGGGGATGAGGTTTGAGGGGGTTATTCTCGCTCCTGTTGCTGCTTCAGGGGCTGCTGCTGCTGCTGCTGCTGCTGCTGCTGCTGCTGGGGTTGGGTGTGGGGTTGGGCAAGGCCGAAGCGGAGGGCGGTGAGGGAGAGGAGGGCGAGGGTGAAGGAGAGGCAGAGAGCCGAAGGCACACGCAACGCCGCTACCCCTACTGCCGCTGCTGCTGCTGCTTCCGCTCCTGCCACTCCCGCTCCTGCCGCTCCGCCTGCTGCGCCCAGCAACGCGCCGCCGCCCAGACTCCTCAGCGCGGCGCCCATGAACCAGTACGAGAGGGGCGGCTTGTCGAAGCGCGGGTGCGCGTTGAACTGCGGCGTGACCCAGTCCCCCGTGAGCGCCATCTGCCGCGCCGCCTCCGCGAAGAGCGGCTCCGTGTCGTCTACCAGGCCCACGAGGTGCGGGAAGCGGGGGAAGGGGGCGCGGAGGGGGGCGCCGGGAACGGGGGACGCGGGAGGGGGAACGGGCGCAAGCGGGACGGAGGGGAGGGAAGGGAGTGAGGCGAGGGAGTGGACAGAGGGCGCAGGGGGGAGGAGTGGCGGAGGTTCGGGGGAGGCGCGGGGGAAAAAGAGGGGGAGTAGGGGGAGAAGCCAGGCGGAGATGGCGAGGAGGAGCAACCATGCGGCGAGCGCGAGGGGGAGGAGGAAAGAGCGCGGTGAGCGGGAGACGGGGGGGGGAGGAGGAGGAGGGGGGCGGTCGGAGGCAGGAGGATTTTGAGGGCGGTCAGAGGCAGGGGGGGGATCGGACGAAGAGGTAGAGCCGGCGTGGGCGTGGGAGGGAGGAAGGCGATGGGAAGAGGTTCGAGGAAGCGGGTGCGCAAGTGGCGAGGGAGGTGAGAAGGAAGAGGATGACTCGGAAGGAGAACGGAACAGGGGGAGGCGGAGGGGAAGACGGAGAGGGAGGTGGAGGGGGGAGGACCGAGCACCCCAGGCGCAAGCGGGGCCTGTCAGGGACGTGCGCGCACTCCTACGCGCGCACCCGAGATGCTCTCCCGCGCTCGTGATGCGAGATTGCGGATACCCAATACGACCGCGAACGTTACCACCATGGTCGCAACCATTATCACCGTTACTATTACGACCGTTATTGTGATGCCATCCTACGCAAACGCGCCCCGCAGCCCCGCACCGCGCCGCAGTGCGATGCCAGTTGGCAACAGCAGCAGCAGCAGTGGTTGCAGCTGCAGTTCCGGCAGGAGCGTGCGACGCGAGACGCGGCGAGCGGGTCCCAGTCGCGAGCAGAGATGCTTCCATGACGGTGCTAAGTAATATTTTCCATGCGACCTTTGAGTCGACTCAAAAGTCACCTCGCTTTTGAGTCGACTCAAAAGTCACCTCGCTTCCATGACGGTGCAAAGTAATATTTTCCATGCGACCTCCACCTCACTCTACGTGACTTTTGAGTCGACTCAAAAGTCACCTGGTAATATTTTCCATGCGACCTCCACCTCACTCTACCTCGCTCCTATTCACCTCGCGCCCTTTCTCTCTCTATCTTCTCTCACTCACTCCCATCAAATTCAACTGGCCCTGGTGCGAAATGGCAACGTGAGGAGGAGCAGGAATGTGACGAGGAGGGTCAATTGAATTGAAATTGGCAGATTCAAATTTCAATTGAATAAGCCAAAACCCGAAACCCCTAATGCTTGCGAGGTGTAACATTCATTTCGTGAACATGATCGAATCGTCAACGCGAGTGTGATGTTGGGTAACCTGAACAACGGTTTCGCCGTTTCTCGAGAAAGGAGGTGGTTGTCGGTTTCGCCAAAACTCATATCAACCTTCACTCGTTAGAGAAGATTCATCATTCCTACTATGGTACGCCCTCCTAGCTTTCCAGTTTATCCCAACCCAGGAGCAGAAACAAGAAAGAAAGCCACTACTTTTACCAGCACTAAAAAGCCAAGCCACACACATTCTTTTACAGAAAGACTATGCCTATCCTCATTCCTCTCCTACCCTTCAACAACAAAACAAACCGACCAATCAGCACGTCTGGTTGAACTGCCTCTGCCACTGCTGCAGCAGCGTCTCCCACACGTCTCTCTGAACCAGAGGCCTCTCCTTCCCCTGTGCGCGCTGCTCCTGTGCCTGCTGCACACTGCCCTGCACTGACTGCAGGAACGCCCTCTGCTCGTCCACTGGTAGCGTGCGCACATGCTGCAGCACCGTCAGTTGCTGAGAGGGGGGGGAGGGGGGGGTAGAGGGAGCCGGGGGGAGCGGAACCAGGAAGAAGAAAGAGTGGGTTGGGGAGGTAGGTTGAAAAGGGGGTGTTGTTTTAGGGGGGTGAAGGGGAAAGGAGCAGGGGAGGAGAAACGAGTGGGAGGACGGAAAGGGGGGAGGGGTGTGTATATATGTGTATGCGTGTAGGTGTATGTGTGCGCGCTGCTCCTGTGCCTGCTGCACGCTGCCCTACACCAACTGCAGAAAAGCCCTCTGCTCATCCACTGGTAGCGTGCGCACATGCTGCAGCACCGTCAGTTGCTGGAAGGTCGTAGGGAACCGGGGAAAAGAAAAAGGGGGGTTCTTTGCACTGTTCAGTGGCGCGAAGTGGGTTACAGATTGGGTGGGAGAAGCGTCTCTGTGTGTGTGCAGGTGAAGGGGGGGGAAGGGCAGGACATACTCAAACACTGCGAAAAGGGAGCAGGAGAGCATGGGCATGGGAGCAGGAGAGCATGGGCATGGGAGCAGGAGAGCATGGGCATGGGAGCAGGAGAGCATGGGCATGGGAGCAGGAGAGCATGGGCATGGGAGCAGGAGAGCATGGGCATGGGCAAAGCATGGGCAGGGGTATGGCCATGAGGATGTTGCTTGTGGTGCTGCACTCACGTGTTGCTGCATGAGCTGCATCTGCATCTTCTTCTGTGCCAGAGCTAGCGGTGTCAACTCCGCCTCGTCACATGCTGCCTCCTCCCTGGTAGGTGCTCAGGGAAAGGGAGAGTGAGAGTGAGAGGGAGAGAGAGAGAGAGAGAGAGAGAGAGAGAGAGAGAGAGAGAGAGAGAGAGAGAGAGAGAGAGAGAGACCAATGAGGCCTTGGCGACGGACGAGCTCGGCTTTCGGGGCCCCATCATCCCTCTCAGTGAGGGACAGCTGCACCAGTTGATTGAGGCCCCTCTCGACCAGTAAGGTCGGACAAGGGGGGGGCGGAGTAGGTGGGGGACTTGAGGGAGATAGAATACCGGTTTATGTGTTTGTTTATGCCTTGTGTTTTGCATCTTCCTTTGTACCACCCCATATGGAATACAAGGACCATTCGAGAGAGAGAGAGGGAGAGAGAGACTCCCTTAGCCCTCTGCCCTCTGCCTCATCCCTCTGCCCTCTGCTCTCCAGAGCCTTTTAAGGGCTGGTTTGGTCTTTTTCTCCTCATTATTTCGTGTGGTGTTCAATTTCGGCGGCTCGCGCCGGCGGCCTTCGGCCGCCGCCGCTCGCTTGCGCGGCCTCCGGCCGCGCGCTCCTGGTGGCAAGGAACAAGGCGGAGGACTACCAATACGGGGAAGAACGCACACGCAAAGAAAGCAGGAGAGCAGGACTAAAACAAGACATCACGGCATGCAGTTCTACACTAGGCGAAAGCCTACATCGTGTACGGCTCCGCCCCCTCCACCTCAAGCATCGAGCGCATGCACGCCGTCATTGCAAGGAGGAGATGCGCCGACGACTGAAGTGTGTCCACAGGAGTCCCGACCTGAGCAGCCCCTACAAGATCCCCCACGTGGCGGGGGAAGGTACGCGCTAAGGGCGCTACCCCAGCAGGCGCTTCCGACACGGGTGCCAACGGCGACTCGAGCGATTCTGCCAAAGACACGCAGGACCCTCGGGATCCTGGACCGTAACTGCTCGGAAAGCTCCGCGTGGCCCCACACACCGCCAACTGCAAGTTCGCCACCACCTCACACGCCTCCGCCAGATTCAGAATCCGGCACATGGTCAGCATGGGGTCTCTCCCCGCGTGAGTGGGGGGAGGTGCAGTCGGAGCTTCGCGCGGAAACGCCGTCGACCAGCCAGGAGTCCGGCCACCAGTCACGCGCTGCGCGGAGAAGCCCGGGACCTGGCGAGGGGTGCGAAACCGAGCCCCCCCCTCCCGCGCGGGCAGATACTCGCGCAGCGTCGGCGCGCGCAGAGGAGCCACCGGGCCTGGGTCCGCGGCGAAGGGAGGTCCGTTGGTCACCTCAATGTGCACGTGCGTCGGCTCCCCACTCGCCCGCGCCTGCCGCACCACTTCCGCAAATGCATTCGCGGCCCGATCGAGGGCGGGATCCTGCCCGCCACAATTGCCGCCACGCCCACCGCCATTCCGCCGGCCCCGCCGACCTCCGGAACCAGCAGAGTGCGGTCGCGGAGGGGACTGCTCGCGTCGGCCCGAATCCCAACGACGCCCAGGTGACCCCCTCCCCCGCGTCGCCGGAGATTGCCGCGGAGACCGTTGCGCGGGGGATCGTGCTCGGGGTGAGCGCTGGCCTACCCGACCACGAGGAGATGGGCGGCGAGGAGAACGGGGATGCGCCGGGGACCGCTGAGCGCCCTCCCTGCGCTGTGGGGCTTCGCGATGCTCAGGAGATGGGCGGCGAGGAGAGGGCTGCCGAGGAGGCTGACGCGGAGGCGAGCGCCCACGCTCCTGCCGCGGCTGACCGTCAGGGCGGCTTGACGCAACACGTGCAGGGGCCCACGAATACTCCGGCGAGGTGGGGCGCGCGGCAGGCCTATGAGGAAGAGTTAGCATCCGCTCAAAGCGGCGGACGGGCTCGCTTGCGGAGGGATGCGCAGGGACACGCGGTCGAAACCCGGCAGGCGCAGGGTCCGGCAGCGCGCTCTCCGCAGAACCCTCGAGCTCCGGATCCCGTCGCGCGGATGGGTCCATCACCCCCGACAGCACCGCAGCCGACGCCAGCACGCCGACCTATTGGGGACGAGGCGGATAGGGCGCCCCTGGCAGGGCGCGCGGGAGCGGCGGGAGGAAGAGGAACGCGGGGAATCCGCGTGGGACGCGGCAGCAACCGCCGCGGACGACGCGGGAACGGGAGAGGACGCCGAGGTGGAGGAGCGCGCGGCACAAATCGGCGCCGTACCGGCGCAAGCGGATACGCGAGAACTGCAGAAAGGCTAATGCGTGAAGGCGCGGAAGGCGGCGAGGAGGTGCTCAGCGAGGAAGCAGAGGACGAAGTCGAGATTGAAGAAAGCGATGGGGGTGACCCCGCTTTTAACCCAGAAAGAGAGGGGATGTTCGAAGCAGAGGCCGAGGAGGACGAGGCAGAGTTGGAGCTGCTGCTTCAAGAAATGGAATCCCCAAACCAGCAGGCCCGAGGCGATCCCGCAAACCGAACCACACACCGAAACCGAACCGCGGGGGGAAATCGTGCAAGGGGGGGAAATCAAGCCGCGACAGAAGACGGAATTGACTCTGCAGCGGCCAATGAAAATTCAGAAGCCCCTAATCCAACCCCCCTGATGCTCAAACCTGACGACCTGGCGAAAAACACAGACCTGTTCGCCCAGGTTGCAGACTGGGACCTTGACCCGCTACGCGACAGTCGCCAACCTCCTCTTGCCCGCCACCCCCCCAAAGACCTTCGCGAATCCTTCGCGATCTGCATGTTGACACCGTTACTCCACCTGGCGGCCAATCCCGAGTCCCCACCTGGGTGGAGGTTACTGACCTTCCTCCCGCGCCTACTTCTTCGCACCTCGTCAGCCCGTAAGCCTGACTGGAGCGCGATGATGAATCGGCTCCTGCTTTTTCGCCAAGGGTCCTGGGCCGTCCTATACGAAGAAGCTGTCCAGGCGATTTCCCTGCCACCGCAACCTCGCCACGCACCTGACACAACTGGAATCCTGGCAAGAGCGGAAGGACTGGCAAAACGGGGTAACCTGTCAAAATCACTTCAATCCCTCCAGGCCACTCCCGTGTCGCCAGCCTCACCTGAAGTGTTGGAAGCCCTCACGGCGAGACACCCACCTGCATGCCAATCACTCCCTGATTGGCTTCACACTGCCACGGCGGAAGACCCACCCACTGTCGAAGCCCGCGACTTCAGGCGCCTCCTCGCCAAGCTCCCCAATGGAGTCGGGGCCGGGCCTTCAGGAACCACCTTCGAGCACATCCGAGACGCGGCCCTTGGGAATGCCGAAGTACTCACCCATCTCCTCGCCCTCACAAACACGGCTCTAGCAGGAAAACTCCCCGCGACCGCAGGGGAACTCTTAACGGCCTCCCGCCTGTTAGCCTTTACGAAACCTCAAGGTGGGACGAGGCCAATCGCGGTGGGTGAATGTCTCCTCCGGATCATTACCAAGGCCGCCCTATTTCTGACCGCGCCGGCCGCTCGTACTCACTTTACTCCCCTTCAGTTCGGAGTAGCAGTAGCAGGGGGGATCGAAGCGGCTATTCACACCGCTCGCACGTACCTGGAAGTGCACCCAGGGGCAGTGGCGCTGCAAATTGACCTCGCGAACGCGTTCAATGCGGTCGAAAGGAGAGCGGTGTTCGAGGGGCTGAGAAACGAGGCGCTAAAGGCGCTGATTCCCCTCGTCCGCCTATCATATGGGGCTGCCTCCTCTCTCGTCCTCGACCATGACTTCGGCGCCGCCCCGCTGCAGAGCGCCAGAGGAGTCCGCCAAGGGGACCCGCTCGGCCCCCTCCTGTTCGCGGCAAGCATCCATCCGTGCCTCGTTGACACGGCGGCAGCTCACCCTCAGGTGGTCCTGCTGGCGTACGCCGACGACATCACGCTGCTCGGCGACGCCACGGCCTGCACAGCGGCATTTGTCCACCTCACATCGGCACTAGCCGCCCTCGGCCTGGTTCACAATCCGGGAAAATGCGCGGCGTGGTCTGCCGCAGCAATCGACCCTTCTTCGGTTCCCCCAGGCATTAGTATCGCCGAAGAAAGGTTGCAGATCCTCGGCAGCCCAGTGGGCACACCCCGGGGCTGCGCAGGCGCTGTGAGAGAGAGATTGGCAGCAGCGGCAGCCCCTCTCCCCCTGCTAGCCCAGATGGACCCCCAGCTTAGTCTCCTCCTCCTCACCCGCTGTGTCAGCCGCCGAGCATCTTTTCTGGCCAGAACCACCCCCCTGGAAGCCCTCCCGGAAGTGGAATGGTCTGCTTGGGGGGAACAGCTCCTCCACACCTTCTTGGTTTCGGCCCACATCTTGAGCCCGAGGAGTGCCAGGGAGAGACGGAGGATCTGGCGGCAGGCAGCACTGCCAGTGACTCTGGGAGGCCTGGGCATCACTGACCCCGCTGTTGAAAGCAGCTACGCCTACCTCGCCTCAGTGATCAGCGCCGCCCACCTCCTGCACTCCCTGGAGAACTCACTGCATCCCGCTATCGCCGCGCTCCTCCCCCTACTGGACCCGACCCACGGCTCTCCGCACGCGCTGCCTGCACGCCTCGCTGCGGCTGAGGCAGCTCTCCCCCCAGAGGCTCTCGAGGTGCTCCAGGCCGGGAAGGCAGACCCCAAGGGACTGAAGCTGCAGCAGAGCCTAGCGCTGGCGGTTCACTCCCACCGCTTCCTGAGAGTCATGCGCGAGGCAAGGAGGATGCGCCCCAACCCCCGTTCTGGCCACGCGCAAAGGATGCAGTCAGTGCTAGGCCCAGGCGCAGGGGACTGGCTGCTGGCGATCCCGCTCATCCCCTCGCTACGGATGGGCCCATCCCAGCTCTCTACTGCAGCTGCCTTCCGCCTAGGCCTTCCCCTCCCCGTGCCCAGACGCTGTGACTGCCGCTACCGCACCACCTTCCCTGACGATCGCCTCCCCAACCACCTCATGCGCTGCGAGAAGGGGAAAGGGAGGACCGCAACCCATCACGCTCTGCGGGATGAGATTGCGAACATAGGGGTTGAGGCGGGGTTTATGGTTCACAAGGAGACGTATGTCTACTCTCTGGTTGAAAACCTCAAGGCGGATGTCACCATCCGTCATCCCCTGACTGGAGAGGTTTGGATGTGCGACGTGACCGTGACAGACCCGGTGTCTTACCAGGACGAGAACTGCAACCGAGCTCCTGGATGGGCGGCTAGGGCGGCAGCGGCAAAAAAGGAGGAGAAGTACGCTCGTCGGAACGCGTGGGTGGGGTTCCACGCGCTTGCAGTAGAAACCTACGGCTACCCCTCGCCAGGGGTGATGGCTTACCTGCGGCAATGCGCGGAGCTGGCGGCGAAGCTGCGTTTTAACGCAGCACCTACCTCCTACGAAGCAGCGAAGCTGCTGACGGAGTACCGCCAGCGCTGGAGCGTGTGCCTCCAGCGGGCGCAGGCCAACGCCCTCCGCACCAAGACCAATGAGGCCTTGGCGGCGGACGAGCTCGGCTTTCGGGGCCCCATCATCCCTCTCAGTGAGGGACAGCTGCACCAGTTGATCGAGGCCCCTTTCGACCAGTAGGGTCGGACAAGAGGGGGGGCGGAGTAGGTGGGGGACTTGAGGGGGATAGGATACCGGTTTGTGTGTTTGTTTATGCTTTGTGTTTGCATCTTCCTTTGTACCACCCCATATGAAATGCAAGGACCATTCGAGAGAGAGAGAGAGAGGGAGAGGGAGAGGGAGAGGGAGAGAGAGAGAGAGGGAGAGGGAGCGGGAGAGGGAGAGAGAGGGAGAGGGAGAGGGAGAGGGAGAGGGAGAGGGAGAGGGAGAGGGAGAGGGAGAGGGAGAGGGAGAGGGAGAGGGAGGGAGGGAGGGAGAGGGAGAGGGAGAGGGAGAGGGAGAGGGAGAGGGAGAGGGAGAGGGAGAGGGAGAGGGAGAGGGAGAGGGAAAAGGAGAACCAAAGGTGGCATGCCAACACCACACCCACTCCCATCACACAAGCACCAGCAGCATCACCAGCAACACCCGAATCACATCACAGCAGCAGGGAGCGAAAGAGGAATATGAGTTGAATGGCACATCAAGGAACGTGAGCAGCCCCTGGAGAGCCGTACACATACACTCTGTTGTCCCCTCACCTCTCCTAGCTTCCCTTCCTCTCCCCTCCTCTCCCATCCCCTCCCCTCCCCTCCCCTTACCTTCCCAACCCTTCCCCTCTCAGCCTCATCCCCCCTTTTCCCTCTCCCCTCCACACCTGGCGGGCACGCGGCAGATTCGCAGCACCATGGCTCTGTCCTCACCCTCCACCCCCCCCCCCCCCCCCCGCTCTCCTCCCATTCCCACCACTCATCTCCTCCACACATGTGTCCACCCCTCGATCCCCACCTGGCGTGCATGTGGCAGATGCGCAGCACCATGTCCCGGTCCTCTCTGTAGTCTAGCGGCACGGCCCGCACACAAGTCATGCCAAACTGCGGCTCTGCACGTGAGGGGATGGGAGGGGAGGAAAGGGGAGGGGGGGGGGAGGGGAGGGGAGGGGAGGGGAGGGGAGGGGAGGGGAGGGGAGGGGAGGGGAGGGGAGGGGAGGGGAGGGGGGGGAAGGTGGGGGGAGGGGATGGAGCGACAGAGAGACGGGAAACAGTAATGAAGTCCTGTCATGCCAAAGCATGTCCCGGCCCTCCCGGTAATCTAGAGGCACGGCCAGCAGACATGTCAGGACAGAAGTGCAAGGGAGGGAGCATCAAAGATGCTGGTCAGGTATTGCCATGCCAGCCATGCCAGCCATGCCAGCCATGCCAGCCACGCCAGCCACGCCAGCCATGCCAGCCATGCCAGCCATGCCAGCCATGCCAGCCATGCCAGCCATGCCAGCCATGCCAGCCACGCCAGCCATGCCAGCCATGCCAGCCATGCCAGCCACGCCAGCCATGCCAGCCATGCCAGCCACGCCAGCCATGCCAGCCATGCCAGCCATGCCAGCCACGCCAGCCATGCCAGCCATGCCAGCCATGCCAGCCACGCCAGCCATGCCAGCCATGCCAGCCACGCCAGCCATGCTAGCCATGCCAGCCATGCCAGCCACGCCAGCCATGCCAGCCATGCCAGCCACGCCAGCCATGCCAGCCATGCCAGCCATGCCAGCCATGCCAGCCATGCCAGCCACGCCAGCCATGCCAGCCATGCCAGCCACGCCAGCCACGCCAGCCATGCCAGCCATGCCAGCCACGCCAGCCATGCTAGCCATGCCAGCCATGCCAGCCACGCCAGCCATGCCAGCCATGCCAGCCATGCCAGCCATGCCAGCCATGCCAGCCACGCCAGCCATGCCAGCCATGCCAGCCATGCCAGCCATGCCAGCCATGCCAGCCATGAGCATGTGCGTGCTGCTCTGTGCGCCTAATGCCAGACTTTAAGGCGTCTCAGAAGCACTCAACACGTCCTGAAACGTCATGCATATGGCATGGGATGACATGGGATGACATGGGATGACATGGGATGATGACATGGGATGACATGGGATGACATGGGATGACATGGGATGACATGGGATGACATGGGATGGCATGGGATGACATGGGATGGCATGGAATGACATGGGATGACATGGGATGACATGGGATGGCATGGGGATGCCATGGGGATGGCATGGGGATGGCATGGGGATGGCATGGGGATGGCATGGGGATGGCATGGGGATGGCATGGGGATGGGATGAGGGTTGTGGGCAACTAGGGGAAAGTAGCAAGGGGCACCAATTGATGACAGGAACTAGCGTAAGCTCTGGAAAGAGTATGATAGCACACAAGAAAACAGACTAATGAAGTTCAAGGTTAACGCCCATGCCCATGCCCATGCCCATGCCCATGCCCATGCCCATGCCCATGCCCATGCCCTTGCGCCCATGAGTGTGCACCCGTGCCGGTGTGTGCGCATGCCTATGAGTGTGTGCCCGTGCCGGTGTGTGCGCATGCCTATGAGTGTGCGCATGCCTATGAGTGTGCGCCCGTGCCGGTGTGTGCGCATGCCTATGAGTGTGCGCCCGTGCCGGTGTGTGCGCATGCCTATGAGTGTGTGTGTGTGCGCGCACCTATCCCCATGTCGAGCAGAACCTGCTCCTTCAAGAGGCGAGTCACCGAGGATGCTGACTGTAGTGAAGGGGAGGGGGAGAGAGGAGAGGGGGAGAGGGGGAGAGGGGAGAGGGGAGAGGGGAGAGGGGAGAGGGGAGAGGGGAGAGGGGAGAGGGGAGAGGGGAGAGGGGAGAGGGGAGAGGGGAGAGGGGAGAGGGGAGAGGGGAGAGAGGAGAGGGGAGAGAGGGATAGAGGAGAGGGGAGAGAGGGAGAGAGGGAGAGAGAAGAGGGGAGAGGGGAGAGAGGGAGAGAGGGAGAGGGGGGAGGGGAGAGGGGAGAGAGGGAGAGGGGGGGAGGGGAGAGGGGGAGAGGGGGAGAGAGGGAGAGAGGGAGAGGGGGAGAGGGGGAGAGGGGGAGAGGGGGAGATAGGGAGAGGGGGGGAGGGGGAGAGGGGGAGAGGGGGAGAGAGGGAGAGAGGGAGAGGGGGAGAGGGGGAGATAGGGAGAGGGGGGGAGGGGGAGAGGGGAGAGAGGGAGAGGGGGAGAGGGGGAGAGAGGGAGAGAGGGAGAGAGGGAGATAGGGAGAGGGGGAGAGGGGGAGAGGGGAGAGAGGGAGAGGGGGAGAGGGGGAGAGGGGGAGAGAGGGAGAGAGGGAGAGGGGGAGAGGGGGAGAGGGGGAGATAGGTAGAGGGGGGGAGGGGGAGAGGGGAGAGAGGGAGAGGGGGAGAGGGGGAGAGAGGGAGAGAGAGAGAGGGGGAGAGGGAGAGGGGGAGAGGGGAGATAGGGAGAGGGGGGAGGGGGAGAGGGGAGAGGGGGAGAGAGGGAGAGAGGGAGAGGGGGAAGCGAGGGAGGAGAGACGGGAGAGAGGGGGGAGACGAGGGGAATGGGGAAGTGAAAGGAAGGAGATGAGGAGATGGAAGGAAGTCGATATTTGAGATGACTTTTGAGACGTCTCAAAAGAACTCTCAAGAGGTGGGCGGCGGGGGGACGAGATGGAAGCACAAGAGATGGACATGCGGAGGGGAGAGAGGAGAGGGGAGAGGAGAGAGAGGGAGAGAGGGAGAGGGGGGAAGGGGGAGAGGGGAGAGAGGGAGAGGGGGGGAGGGGGAGAGGGGGAGAGGGGGAGAGGGGGAGAGGGGGAGAGGGGGAGAGGGGGAGAGGGGGAGAGGGGGAGAGGGGGAGAGGGGGAGAGGGGGAGACGGGGAGAGAGGGAGAGAGGGAGAGGGGGAGAGGGGGAGATAGGGAGAGGGGGGGAGGGGGAGAGGGGGAGAGGGGGAGAGAGGGAGAGAGGGAGAGGGGGAGAGGGGGAGAGGGGGAGAGGGGGAGAGGGGGAGAGGGGGAGAGGGGGAGAGGGGAGAGAGGGAGAGAGGGAGAGGGGGAGAGGGGGAGATAGGGAGAGGGGGGGAGGCGGAGAGGGGAGAGAGGGAGAGGGGGAGAGGGGGAGGGGGAGAGAGGGAGAGAGGGAGAGAGGGAGATAGGGAGAGGGGGAGATAGGGAGAGGGGAGAGAGGGAGAGGGGGAGAGGGGGAGAGGGGGAGAGGGGGAGAGAGGGAGAGAGGGAGAGGGGGGGAGGGGGAGAGGGGGAGAGAGGGAGAGAGGGAGAGGGGGAGAGGGAGAGGGGGAGAGGGGGAGAGAGGGAGAGGGGGAGAGGGGGAGAGGGAGAGGGGGAGAGGGGGAGAGGGGGAGAGGGGGAGATAGGGAGAGGGGGGGAGGGGGAGAGGGGAGAGGGGGAGAGCAAGTGTATGTAAGCACATGAGTGCGAGAGTGTTTGTGTGGCAGCAAGTGCGCCATATGACACGCCTCACCTTGCCCTCCTGCACGCTGCTCTTGATCTGTGCTCGTGCCTCTGCCATGTCATGGGGGGTCATGCCATGCCATGCCATGCCATGCCATGCCATGCCATGCCATGCCATGCCACGTCACGCCATGCCACGCCATGCCAAGCCATGCCACGCCATGCCACGTCACGCCATGCCATGCCACGCCATGCCACGCCATAAAGGACCATCATCAGGCAAGAGAAGAAAGGGGTGGTGAGAAGGGAGGTGGGGGAGGTGGGGATGCGGGAGGGGGGACGTGGGGGGGGTGTTGCTTAGAAAAAAGTGCAGGGAGGAGGAAGAGGAAGAGGAAGAGAAGGAGGAGAATCCTGGAGTGGAGCAGCGTGGTGACGAGAAGGGAGAAGGGGGAGGAAGGAGGGGAGAGGAAGGGGAGGAGGGAGAGGAGATGGGGGGAGGGGAGCGGAGGAGTGAGGTGCGGGGGGAGGGGGAGGAGGAGGGAGAGCGGGAGAGCGGGAGCGGGAGGGAGAGGGAGAGCGGGAGCGGGAAGGGTAGGGGGGAGGGGGAGGGGGAGGTTGAGGTACCTTTGGAGTCGAGCAGCGCAGTGAATGCGCGGAAGAACGCCATGAGCTGCTCGCGCGACAGCATGCCCGCGCGCTGCAGCCCCGCGAACGACGCCCCGCCCCCGCCCCCGCCCCCGCCACCGCCGCCGCCGCCGCCGCCACCTGCGCCCGCCCATGCCCCCGCGCCTCTCAACACTGGAGCCCCCCCAGACGCTTCCCCCGCTGCTCCTCTTTCTCTCCCGTCCCCTGCCCCGCCCCCAGCTGCCCCGACTGCCCCTCCTAAATCATCCGCAGCGTTGGGGTATGGAGGGGAAGTGGGGGAAGCTGAGAAACCGAGTCGATTAAGGAGCGAATCCTCGTCGTCGTTCGAGCCGCCAAACCCGGGCGACAGGAGGCTTGCTTGGAAACCCTCGGAACCGGGACTGTAGTAGGGAGGAGCAGGCGCGGAGTTAAGAGAGTTTAGAGAGTTTAAAGCGTTAGAATCGAGTGCGAAGGCTAAGGCGGCGGAATCGAGAGACGCGGAGGAGGTTTCAGACGCTTGGTGGTTCAGATCAGCTGCTTTTAGCGATGCCATTCTTAACGCGGATGCTGCGAGTCGGGGCCTTTTTAGCGGGATTGGAGGAGGGAGGAGGAGGGAAACGTGAGGAGTGGAGACGGTGACTCTGTGGTTCTTAAAGCGTGGACACGTCGCAGGCGAAAGAAAGAGTCGCGGGCTGATGCGTCGCAGAGAAATGAAAGTGTCGCAGGCAGGCTGTCGCGCGTCGCAACGCAAGCCACTGGATCAGTTCGCAGAGGCGTCGTCAGCAGTCGCAAGGTCGCAGGCGAAGAGTGGACTCGGACTGACATGACATGTCATTGCGAGTATTCTGATTCGAGCGAGCTGACGAAGGGGACGAGTGGCCGAAGCGGACGACGAGCGGCCGAAGCGGACGGGTTGAGCAATAGAGTTTCAAGGTTACAGACAGAGGCATACCAGTTGGTCCGTGGCATACTTGAAACATGGATCCTGCAAGGGATCGATGTGTGAGTCTACAGTCGCTTCGCGAAGTTGCGAACGTAGGGTATCCTTTTTTAGTTAGATTTCGCGTAAACTCAAAGTCACAATAAGATTGTCCTAAATTGAGCCGACACCGCACTGAAATCCCTCTTCAAGAGTTTACAGAGCTCATAAACGTTAAAAACCCCGCCAAGATTGGAACCTGTCGGGCGATCGTGTCCGCGCAGATTGAAATCTGGCTATGGCGATTGATGCTCACGATTTCGGTGTGTAGTCCCGACCCTCATCTGGTGTTGCAATTGTGACGTGTCCTCACAATTGCAACACCGATCCTGTGTAGGATCGGTGTTCATGTAAGGAAAAATATTTTTTCTTACTTCGCGTCCCTGCTCAGCGCGTACAACACTGACAGCACCCCACAATATCCCGTTACCACTCGCGACATTCGCCCCGTCACCGTTCCCGCCACTGTTCACGATGCGACCCAACCACACGGTTCGGTTGGTAACCCGCGCTCCGGACCTCCGCCTCGACAGTTCCCCAAACCTCGGCATTAGGCCCGTCGCGCACCCCAATTTTCCCACGTTACCGTTACCACCATAGTTTCGCTATATATTCTTCGCTCATTCCTTCGCTCATTGTATCTTGTCTCGATAGTGCAATCCTCGTTCGCTCACTCAATTGCACTCGTAACACTTGGTTATCAGAGCCTACGATCTTCTCTCGGACCGCACCCACACCTTCGCTTCCCCACTATCAATTTTTTGGGGGGGGTATACGTCTCTCAGCGATCAAGCACCGCCGCTCGAAGTGCTCTCTCGTAAGCACGCACGGCCACGACAGAGGCTCTCGCTGAGCTTGCCCGACACCCCGCCATGGCAGAACTCAACGTCGCGACATTGACACAGGAGCAATTAGATCGGCTCATGCGCCAACTCGAAGAATCGGCGCTTGAAATCGCCACACTCACGGCGGAACGCGACTCCGCTCGCCAACAATCGACAGTGAATGCACCACCGCCAACACACGCACCTGCACATTCGGAGGAGCCGATTGTCATCTCCTCCGGCACACCGACACAGAATGACAGCGTGGGACAACGCTCAGGCGCAACCAGTGAAGGCGCCGCTCACTCGATGCCGGGCATGGAGAGAAACAGGACCGCACCAAGCCCACGGGAGCCCCGCGAGTCCCGTCGGCACGTGGAATTTGCGGCGACAAGTGGCGAATATGCTGTCACGGCACCAATGCCACTCAAGCCGCAGCGTCCGCCCTGTTTCGACCCGAGCCAGCGTGGGGGTCCGACGGTTCAGTCATGGGTCTTCACGATGAACGTGTTTTTCGACGCCAATTACGTCGAGTCGGACGCAGCGAAGATTCGCTATGCTGTTTCGCTGCTGAGGGGCCCCGCCATGGACTGGTGGCGAGTCATCGCGACGTCGCCACGCGCCTACGAGCCACCGTCGCACGAAGACGGGCCCACGGGCCCAGCCGTCACCTGGAGTTCATTATGCGAGACAGCCCAATACAGCACGTGGGATGCGTGGTGCGCAGGGCTTCGGGCGCGTTTCGAGCCGATCGCGGCTTCGATTTCGGCGCGTCAGAAGCTGCGCACTTGGCGCCAGCTCGGGTCGGTTCAATATTACACTAGCGGCTTTCTCGCACTGTGCGAACAAGTCGGCTATATGCACGAAGCGGAGCGGGTGGACCGTTACGTCGGAGGGCTAAAGCCGGACATATCGCACGAAATTATGCTACGCGGGCTCTCGAATTTCAACGAGATCCTCGCGCTCGCTGAGAAAATCGACATCCTACGGCGACCGAGACCGGGGTCCTACTACGAACAATGTCCTCGGGGGCCGACCGAGCACGCCACCGTACACGCCGTTGCGACGAATCCAGCTGCCGCACCGTTTAAGGGGCGCTGCTTTGCTTACAATAGGCCGGGCCATCGCAAAAGTGAATGTCCAGAGGAGCTAAGGCACCGTGGAACAGAGCAGGGGCGAGAGTCTAAGAGGCCGGGAAACGCCAGCAGTCAGTAGAAGTTGGGCCAACTACTGACGAGACTGCCTGCTCGCCCAACTTCACCGACCCTCACCCAGTCACAGTACCGATTCACGCTATCAATCGGGCTCGGACGAATAAGGAGGGTACAGCGACGGATTGCCCAGTACTGATTCACGGGAAAATACAGGGAGCAGCAGTGAAGATTTTTATAGACGGAGGTGCAAGTCACAGCTTAGTTAATACCGCGACTGCGAGGAAGCTGCAACTGACACTTAGTCGGTGCTTGCCAGAGATCGATGCACGCTTAGTTGACGGAGCGCCGCTGGCCATACGGGAGAAAGTGGAAAGAGTAAAAGTCCGATGTGGGGGGAATTTCAGGTTTACACAGGAAATGCATGCGACGACATTGGATGGGCACGACATTTTACTGGGACGTGATTGGCTGCGACGATACAACCCGCGAATCGACTGGACGACAGGCAGCTGCACTGTGCGAAGTAGTGGTAACTGGGTGGAGCTACCTCGCTGGCAGTCGCCTGAGTCTTCAACGGTCCACGTCAACGCCATCACGATGAAACGGGCTGTCGCCGCTGGAGCTGACGTGTACGCAGTGGATATCGCGATCGTGGAAGAAGCAGACAAGCCGAGTGATTTTCAGAAACTACTAGCGGCAGTACCATCGGAACTACAGGAACTGTTGAAACGATTCCCGGGAATCTTCCCTAACGACTTACCCGAAGGACTGCCACCTCAGCGGGCGCACGATCACCGAATAGAATTAGAGCCCGGGGCACAGCCAACCGTACAGCGACAGTTCAGACTGACACAGCCCGAGCTCGACGAGCTAAGGAAGCAGTTAGATTACCTGTTAGAGAAAAAATTCATCCGACCAAGCTCATCGCCATTCGCCGCACCAATACTATTCACACCGAAAAAGGACGGCGGGTTTCGCATGTGTATCGACTACCGAGCACTGAACAGGGTTATAGTTAAATCGCGATACCCCATCCCCCGAGCTGACGAACTGATAGATCAACTGCGAACCGCACGAGTCTTTTCGAAAATTGACTTACGGGGAGGTTACCACCAGATTAGGGTCGAACCGTCGGACTGCGCTAAAACAGCTTTTAGAACTAGGTACGGGTCGTTCGAATACACGGTAATGCCTTTCGGACTGACCAACGCACCGGCGACTTTTCAGATGACGATGAACGAGGCGTTTAGGCCACTCTTAGATAAATGCGTTATCATCTACCTCGACGACATCCTAGTCTACAGTCGGGATAAGCAGCAGCACTTAGAAGACTTAGAAGCAGTATTTACAGTTCTAGACAAACACAGACTACTGACAAAGGATTCCAAGTGCGAGTTTTTTCAGGACAGGCTAGAGTTTTTGGGGCACGTTATTTCGGAGGCTGGAGTAGAAATCGACCCGAAGAAATTGGACACGGTAAAAGCATGGCACCCCCGACGAACATCACGGAACTGCAGAGTTTTTTGGGTTTTGTTAATTACGTACGCCGGTTCGTCCCCGACATGGCACGCTTAACGGGCCCGCTTACGGATTTCCTGAGGAAGGGGGTCGCTTTTACGTGGGGGGAGAAAGAGCATGCTGCCTTCTCCACCCTAAAAAATGTTCTCTGTTCACCGCCGGTACTGCGCATCGCCGACCCACACCGCCCATTCGAAGTGGTTACTGATGCAAGCGACATCGCCATCGGAGCCGTACTGCTCCAAGACTTCGGCAACGGGTTACAGCCCATCGCCTACGAATCACGAAAGCTGCATCTACCCGAGAAGAATTATCCGATACATGATCGCGAAATGCTTGCGATCGTGCATGCGTTCAAAGTGTGGCGCTTTTACTTGACCGGCGCAGACGTGACAGTACGAACAGATCACAAATCACTACAGTACCTCCGCGCACAACCCCACCTCAACCCACGACAGATCCGCTGGCTCGACTACCTCGAGTCGAATTTTCACTACACGGTTACCTACAAAAAAGGGGCATCGAACATTGCCGATGCATTAACCCGACCCACAGCCCAAGTTCACGCCATACTTCTCGCCCAGACCAGCCCACTGTTAACAGGCCTATTTACCCACGGTTACCAAACTGATAAATTTTTTACAGGCGGAAACTCGCAGCAGTTTGCAGCAGCAAGAGGAGTCTATTACGTAAAAGCCTGTGAGAATAATGAGAGGAATGAATTGAACTAGGCAGCAGGTGGGTACAAGTATGAAACACAGAAGTGTTGTACCCTCTAAGAACTTCCCCACTACAGCCTAAACAGACTATAGCATATAAGTTTGACACACCCCCATAGGCAAAGTGGGAGAGAACAAGGGGTCACAAGACCAGTCAAGAAGGCAAAGCAAGCTCAGGGTGGATCACAAAGTCACCACGCAGTCTGAGCACAAGCAAAGGGCCACAAGGCCAGTTCACATGCAGAGTTATATAAAGGAAAGCAAACAATACAGTGAACACAACCTAGCAAGTGTAAGCATGCAGGTATAAGTATATAGAGTACAGTACAAGCAGAGTCAAGAAGTCAGCAAGTGAGGCA